ACACCTCAATACCAGTTTATGAAACGGTAACTTTGCAACCATGTCGTTTACGGTGGTACAAACTCAATGATTTAAAAATTTGCGTGGCGATAATCTCATGTATGTTTTTTTGTTTTAAATTTTTCTTCCACACCTTCGTGCCCGTAACAAACTATTCATGTACTATTTCTGCATATTTTTGATTCTTTATCATCCATTTATATTATTTCTCCCTCTTTGTATTATTTCTGGCTAGTTATTTCATCTAATTTGTATTAAATAATATATAATGGATTTGTATCTGATCATATCTCTCCAAAATTGATCCATGATTGCCATACAAAATAACCGGGAAATATGTATGGTCCTAATTATTTCTGTGATCATTCATTCGACCACAAATTCTCATAAGACACATCAAGTGTGATGACCAGTGAATAATTATGACAACCAAGAATCCTTGTGAATAATTATGCAAAAGTAACAATAGGTAGGAATGCGTTTGGTCCAGATTAAATTCAGCTAATGAGAAAAATGTCAGACAGTGAAGAATGGAGAAGGTTGTCGGGGTAACGCAATCATTGCAGTAATTGTAGTTCAAGAATGAGGGTAATTGAAAGTAAGTGATATCAAGGATATGATATAATTAAAGTTACGAGTGCACAATAATTTGAGTGAAGGGTATAAAGCTTGAATTAATGAAATAATACATTTAAGTTACAAGCATGGATCAATCAATTTAAGTTCAAGATATGACGGGATAGCTATATGAAGTAATGCGTACCAGGACTGGTGTTCTTCATATTAAAAATATGCTACACTTCACATACGAAGACATACGAATTATGCATTATCTTTAATTCACATTAAAGATAGTGCGTAATTCAGCTTTCGAAGGCAATTTAAATCATTAAAACATATCTTTGTCTTCTCTAAAATTTTGGTACAAATTTAATGTGATGCTACAATAACACTTAAAAAAGGAAGAACTGAAGGGACTAAATCGGAATTCGGAAAATGAAATCCTGTGGCGGGTTTATTCTTTAATGTATGCCTTTCAATGTTTTTGTAATCCATGCCAACTCCAGTAAACACATTTGGTAAAACGAGGAGTGAAAAGTCAGAAGAATGAAAAGTAACAAGTCAAATAAAGAGTAAAAGGTAAAAGGTAGAGCAGAATGTTAATGAAGCTTCCAAATTCCATGGAACGAATAAGCGGAGATAAATCCAAGAGGTGGAATTGACCAACCCACATCAGTAATGCTTATCGTAGTGCATGCATTTAACGGACCACGGCCTGAGTGTTACGGCCACATTAGTTGCTGTTATAATGGATGTAATAGGTCTTTGTTCGGTCGATGCGGGGGTACTTGTTGGTCTTTGGGTGTGTGAGTGTTCGGGGTGTGGGTCTTATGGTTGCCTTAATCTGGGGAATTGTTATGCAGGGTAGTCAATAGACTTGATGTGAAATGCATGGTCGGGGTAGGATTCGATGGATGGAAAGTTAATCTGTGATTGTACGGCAATGAATCAAGATGAATTTTTGGGATAATTAAAAATTTTTAAATTTAGAATTTTGTTTTACCTAAGAAAGAAAGTAATGAAACAATATGCCAGACACATGTTTTTATAAGTGGTTTTAGGCGAAACACTGATATCAAATTTAGACATTATTTTATCATAGTGTTGTATTTCTGCAGGATTTTTGTAGGTTTTTAATTTTCAGAATTTAGACCAATAATGACGGATTCTGGTAGTGATGAAGAGGTTCAAAACAAAATAAACCTGAAAGTGAAAACTACTACGGAAGGTTATGATATTACGGTATCGGAAAAAGCTACCGTTTTAAAGGTATGAATTTATTTAAATCTATAACTAATCGTATTGCTAATTTTTCTGTTTGTGCTACTTTACATCTGGTACTCACGGTACAACTGCAGTAAGTATTCTGCTAAGTCGGCTGTACCCTTATTCTTTTACCTGTGCATGTTATATTCTAACATATTGATGTGCCGAATTCTGGTGATGCCCTCTTCTAAAATTTCGTCATTTACGTTCCATGCATAATGCTGAAAAAGTTTTAAGATCCTTCATCTGTTATATGAGGTATTAGAAGTGGTATAAGTTGCAGAGTCTGCTTATTGTTTGATTATTATTGTGTCAGTATGCTTATTGTTTGTGCCATCACAGCACAAGTGGCTTTTAAGTACTTTTCATCGCCATTATTTTTATTTAGTTGTAGTTGGAATTCGAAGTCCACTATTTTTGTTCTAATTATAACTGAATTCGGGGTTCATCGTCTTTACTGTGACGTTTGAAATTCTAGGTCAAAACAGTACTGTCAGAGAAAATTAATCAGCCGCCTGAAAAACTTTGTCTTATCTTTTCCGGAAAGATTTTAAAGGATCATGAGACACTCAGTAAACTTGGTAAGTTGAATTTTATTGACTATAGCCACGTGGAATTTTTTTTTCCGGAGTTGATATTGATAATTTCGATAGTACTAGCATTGCTTCTTAATCCTTTTTCCATTTTTCATATTGGGGGAAAATTTGTAAGAGGTAGAGAAAGATATATATAAAAGTTGGGTAATAGCTTGGTTTGAATTGACTATTTTATGTTTCATATGGGATCTTTTATCACTGTTTCATGCTTTCTTTTGAACCGATTAATTTCAGCTATTAAAGATGGTATGGCCATTCATCTTGTCATACGTAATTCGCAAAGGGTAAGGAGATTTTCACCTAAATTTTATTAATCGAGATTTATCATTTCTAATTAACTTTATTTCAATTATATTTCTTGTTATTACTACTCTGTTGCAGCCCGCTGCAGCTGGTACTACTTCTGGAACTGGAGCAGCTCAAGTAAGTCCTTTTTTATTGTTTTGGATTTCCAGAAATTATGGTCAGATTCCTATTGTAATAACTCAAACATTTACATTAAATATTGTTTTTTTCCTGTATACTTTTAACACACGCTTCTTTCTTCTCTCTCTTTAGTTTCTAAGATCTTTTGTTAAAGCAGAATGCAACAATGGGGGGAAACCCAATGAGTGGTGCATTGGGAATGGCACAGCATATGATGCAAAACCCGGAAGCAATACGCGAAATGACGAACAGTCCAATAGTTCAGTCACTGTTAAACAATCCAGACATAATACGGTCATTGATTGCCGAAAATCCACAGATTCAGCAGGTTATTGAGGTAATCTTTTTCCTTCCTTTCGTTTTTGTCATAAAAATGAAGGAATAAAAGGAAGATATGTTACTCAACTTATAATTTAAATCGTAATTTTGTTGGATGGTTTTGACTGGTTGATTAATTCCAAGTGTTGGTTTAAGGCAAACCCCGAACTTGGCCATTTATTGAATGATCCGGAAGTTATTCGGCAGACGATTGAGATGGTGAGAAATCCGAGTATGTTCCAAGAATTGATGCGTAGTCGTGACCAAGCAATACGGAATCTTCAGGTTTTGATTAACGTTGTTCTACTACTGTCAACCTACAACTAATATTAGAACTTATAAGTTTCCGCAGTTTGAAAACCTAATGATAATTTTGAAAGGGTCGACTAAATTGATGAATGTATTTAATATAGAAATTGATGGCAATTTCAGGGTATTCCGGGCGGACAGGCAGCGTTACAACGTTTATATCAAGATGTACAAGAACCACTGTTGAATAGTGCAACAAGTACTTTCGCTAACAATCCCTTCGCAACTTTAGTAGATAATTCTAATAATACGGGTAAGAGTTTTTACGTCTTATATTTTTTTTTCATGGGTTTATATTTATTAACTCTTACAACATTTTTACCTTTCACTGCGACATCCTTGCTTGTTATTAGAGTCATATGTTGAGTGAACAGTAGTTTGCTCCTAAAACATTTCTGATCCGATAACTGTGTTCCATCATTTAGCGTCACGTAGTCAACGTGCCGGTGTTGAAAATGCCGAAGCACTGCCAAATCCTTGGGGTAATGCCACCAATACATCTGGTTCCGCTCCTACCAACACAGGTGTTGGCAGCGGTGCTTCTCAATCTTCGGCTAATTTACTGGCTGGTAAGTTGATTTTACTGCTGTAATTCTCACATTTTGGTTTTATCTTGCTGACATTGGTGATTATTTGGTTTAATTTCACATGACTGCAAAGTATGTCTACGAAATAGCTTAGTCTGGCACTAAAATGAGCTCAGGTTTTTTCCTCATCCTCGTTCTCTGTTCGCATGCTCTTTCTCATCCATTCAAATGTATTCTTTTCCCAGGAAATAAAAACCTAGTCGTGAGAAGTTTGATTTCCAGTTTCTATTCCTGAATAGAGACAGTAGATTGAAATGTCCTTTATGCCTTTTATTTGTTGCTGTCTAGAAGAAAAAAGAGAATGCAATTAGAACTAAATCAAAAATTAAATTCGATGGGGTCAAGTAAATGGTTTTACTGGAATAAAATAAACCCAGTGGAATGAAATAAATAAAATAAAACTCAGTGGGAAAAGTGAGATAAATGGAAGGTTAATTTGAAGTTGAAGGCTTACACAAAGTTTAATATTCTTCGTTTGTGTCTTGATAAATCAAGAATTAAGAACAAAATGTTATATATATATATATATATATATATATATATATATATATATATATATATATATATATATATATAT